ACCAGAAGAGAACTGAGTAGTATTAGCAGGAATCATGGGCTGAAAAGTTTAAAATATTTACTGTATGGCTCTTTACTGAGAAAATGTGCTTGCCTCTGCTTTGCCCAGTAGCTGATGAACCGTGAGTATTTCCAGCCTGGCTGTTCTGAGTAGGTACTATTTCTGACCCTGTGTGAGCACTGGGCACTATTACCTCTAATACTAGATTTCTCATATGCTGATAGAACTCAACTGAATACCCGAGTGAGGCCTTTTGAAGATTACTGCAATTCTCTTTGTGCACACCTTCTGCTCTTACAAATTTTAGTCCTGTGATCTCCAAGCATGTTGGTCTACCTTGTACACTCAGCTTTGTTTCCTCTCCAGCTGAGGGAGCCCACCTATGTCTGGATTACTTCTCCAGGCAGTGTGACCTAGAAACTCTTTCCTGATAGTGAGTTGGGGCAGTGATTAGATTCTATTTGATTTTTTGGTTGTTTTGTTTGGTTTTGTTTTTGTCATAGGGTGTGTGCACTTGTCAGAGAGATACAGAGAGAAGGAAAGTGAGAAATCATCCTCCAGAGGGGTTGACCACAATCCCCTCTCTCTCCCCCATTCTCCTCCTGGGATTTTGGACATGCACACCCATGCACCCAGCATGATTAGCCAGCTGCCAGGGCTGAGACTCAAACCACAGTGAGCCATGTGGGAATCCAGCACCCGAGTCATCATGCCACCTGATGGCCCTTTTTATTTTTAACTTTTGCTGTAGGGCCTGTGCACTCACTGGAGAGAGACAGAGAGAGAAGGAATGTGAGAAAGCATCCCCAAGGGGGATGGCCATGCCACAATCCCTTCTCCAATCTCCTCTCAGAATATTGGATACACACGTACACATGCCTGTCATGTTTTTCAAGTAGCCGGGTCTGGGACTTGAACTGCAGAGTTGGCCATGTGAGATCTAGTCCTTTAACCTTTATGCCACATGCTGGCCCTCAGTTTGTTTTTTTTTTTCCTTTTGGGGATCATTTTCTTTTGTTGCCTGGTGGCAGTTGTCTTGTGAACTATTGTTTCATATATTTTACATGTTTTTTTGGTTGTTCCAGGTTTGAGAGTAAATTCGTTTCTTTACATATCATGTTATACAGAAGCAAAACTCTGAGAAATTGATTTTGGGTATACAGATTGAAATTGGGAGATGTACAGTCTGAAGAAAAAAAAGAATTTTCATTATATAAATAATATTTAAAACCTTGAGCCTGAATGAGGGAACCAAGGGAGCGAGTACAAATTGGTGAGAGGTCCAAGGACTAAAACCTGATCCATTCCAGTATTAAGAGGTGAGATGAGGACTCAGTTAAAATTTGAACTACTAATGAGCTAGGAGAAAAATTGGAGTGTGGGATGATTGCCACATTTAGTGGAAAATTAAACATTAAATAAATACCTTAAATCTCAAAATCCCCCTTTTTCTTTATCCCAGTCACAGAAGTTACTACAAATAAATAACCTAATATCTTTTTTTAAAGGATTTTTTATTTAACTTTATTTATTTAGTTAGTTAGTTCAATTTGACCAGAGAGGGAGAGAGAGAGAGAGAGAGAGAGAGAGAAAGTGTGAAAGCAAGCTGCCAGGTCTGGGATTCGAACCACAGTTGGCCGTGTGGGAGTCCAGCGCCCTTAACCACCACACCCCAGTAGGCCCCCCCTAATATCTTTTTTTAAAAATTGGTATTCACGGGCTATCCCTGTAGACTAGCACGATAGTTAAGGGAGCTAGTTCCCACATGAGTGACTGTGGTTTGAACCTGGACCCAGCAGCTTGAAAACATGCCAGGGCATGTGTGTATGTGTGTTTGCTTATGTGTGGTCCCCCCCCCCAATATCTTTATAGAATGAAGAAACAGGAGAATGAATTGCAGCATGACCGCATCTCATTGGGAACTGTTTTCTCTCCCATCCCATTTCTATCTTTCTGCCAGGTGCACACATACACTGGCAATTTTTTTAAAAAAGTTGGTATTCATGTCTTTTCCCAAAGAGGTAGTCTGTTACTACATAATGGCCCACAAAATTATTGAACTAATTATGTTAATAACAAGGTAAAAAAAATAGTGTTATAGCACTATATCACCCTGGGGGGGGTGATTTCTCACTTTCTGTCTTTCTGTCTCTGTCTTTCCGGTGAGCGCACATGCCCTATAGCAAAAACCTCTCCAGAAATTAAATAAATAAATAAATAAATAAATAAATGGAGATAAATTATTAGATAAATGAAGTAATCGAAGAAAAGTTAAAACCCATTGTTTGAAAATTATGTTTTCTATAGAACAGAGTATTGTACTAGTTGAAAACTTAGATCTGCTAAAAGAAATTCTGAAGGTATAGATAAAATTAAGCAAACAAAGTTTTCTCCTTTGGAGGTTTTCTGCTGTTATTTAAAACTGTTGGTATCGCCTGTGATCTGCCTTGTTAATATAATGTGGAATCTAATTTGGCATAATTGTATATTTCATGATTAATTATTGTTACTTTTTCTGGCATCAGTGTCTTCAACACCACCAAGAATCTCTTTTTTTGGGGTAATATTTCTAGTTTTTCAGAAAATATTAAGATCAAACTAAATTGCTTGAGAATGCAGTACATGTGAAATCTTTTATCACTGGATAGCTTGTCCTAAGCAGCAGGAGTTCGTTATATAATATTAGGGGGAAAGTCCTCCATTTCTTATGATTGCTGTCTCCCTAACAGAACAACTTCAATGACTTGATATTTTAAAGTCATAGCCTTAGAAATAACTTTCAAGCAATTCAGAGTTTCGCTGTGTTTTTAGCTTTGTCATTCAGATAAAGGGAATAATCTAAGAGATATTACCAGTCCATAGGTAAGTTTGGTGGTCCTATTTTTCGATAAACATTTCTTGAATAAATTGAGCATAGGGGTAGTGATTTAAAATAGCAATCACAGTTTTATATAATGAAGTAGGGAAATAACATGAAAATTTTGATTTTTAATAAGGACGAGCTTAAAGCTTTTATAACTTACTGACACAAGTAATCGTGTTTGTCATATTTTTGATTAACAAGTTAAAACAACAACCTACGTCTGCACCACTGAGAAGATGGTAGATTTGTAAGTAAAAGCTGGGGCTAGTGCAGTTTAAAATTCCATAATTATAGCAGAGTTTTCACATAGATTCATGACCTAAACAAGAGGGTTGTTAAGGTTGTCTTCATTTCCACACCTGGGAACCTTTTTGGAAGGTGTCTGAACTTGAGAAGAATGGCCCCTCACAAGTTCTCCGTGACCTGAAATGAGTCTAGATCTGAAGAAAATACCACAGGTTAACCTTTAGGCATTCCTAGGAGGTAAACCTGAACACCAGAAAACTCTCATGACAGGCTAAAATCATTATTTTCCATTGAAAAAATAGAAATAAATGTCAGTTTTTACAAACTGCTGTTTCTCCCATTGTTAAAAGCAAAAACGCTATGAAATTTTTCTAGTTGTTAATAAGTTTGTTTTTTTTAAACTTTTTTTTTTTCTTTGAGAGGTTTTTGCTGTAGGGTACATGCGCTTGCCAGAATGACAGAGACAGAAAGCAAGAAATCATCCCCTGGGGGGATGGCCATGCCGTAATCCCTTCTCCTCCATTCTCCTCTTGGGATCTTAGGCACGCACGCACGCATGCACACATGCACATACATGCACCCAGCATGAGTTTAAGCCACCAGGTCTGGGACCCGAACCGCAGTCGACTACATGGGAATCCAGCAATATAGCCATTACACCAACTACTGGTCCCACTGTTAATGAGTTTCTTGAAGGTAAAGTTACTAAATATTCTTTTCATTAAATATCCTTAGTTATGATATGTGGATTTCTATATGTATCAGTAAATATGTGTCAGCATATGTACATAGCAAAAATAAATTTTAATATTTTAAAGGTATAAGAAGCAATGTAAAATTAATAGTAAAGCCTGGGACTGATAATCTGTTGACTAGATTCTTTTATTGGGTTCTCTCTCTCCAATCCTCATTTTTTTTTTTTTTTTTTTAAATCAGGTGGAAATATAGTATAAATACTTGTTTGCTAATGAGTGTACTTCTTTCTTTATGCTTGGAAATTCATCTTTTTCCTCCAAGGAGTCCTGATAATTGTGTAACCTTCTAGTCTTGAAATCATGAGTACTCTCTGAATTGGTAAGGAATAGAATTTAGTACATGGATATAAAAGTTCTTTGATTACAGGGTTAAGTAATGGTGGGAAATGTGACCTCTACCCTTTAGTGAATAGATCTTTTTAATATACAGAGGCATTGTTCTTTTTGGCATAATAATGAAAGCATTCATTATATTTAGCTGTTGGTTCTAATCTGTATGAAATCAGTTATTTGATAATGTAATATGATCCTGATTACAATTCATGGGGAAAAGGGCAGTTGTGGTTGCTATAAGGATCCTAATTATAGAATTTCTTTTGCACTTGCAAGATGCACTTCATTTTTATCAATGCTTATGAAGTCTGAGTAATCAGATTCCTTCAGGATTTGCTGTTGGGTAATCACTGATGAGATATTTCCTTTTACATTTTTGTAATTAGCTGTCAATATAATTTGTTCCAGGTGCATTTTCTTCTTTGTCATATTGTTGTGAGAATTGAAAATACCTTTGTGCTCTGATTAACTATTTGGTAATTTGCTTCTTGGAGACCACTGTTACTTAAGGTTAGAATTACATGGTAGACTTTAAGATTTTTAACATTTAAAAAATGACTATGTTTGGATATTTGAGCATATTTTAATAATTAAAGAAATGTAATAATTCTCTGTAGTTATTAAAAATAAGACACTTTCTAAGTTTGTGCAGTCTTCAAGAAGATCATGAAACGTGCAAATTATGAGTTAAAAAATGTTTGCCTTAAGATACATTTGTCCTTTTAAGTTCCCTCTTATTTGGTAAATATTTTCAGCTTGATTGCCAGAATTTTGAAGTTATAATCTTCCTTAGCCCCTTTTACATACAAATCTTTTCACTGTAGTACGAGGAGAACTGAGGGTTCCTGAAGAAGCTCTTAAGGTAAGTTTTTAGTTCTTTTGTAAGCCTATCATTCACTAGGGTTGATTTCACTCATGATGTTTCACTTTCATTTTTAAATGTTTTGTAGCATGAGAAGTTTACTATTCAGCTTCAGTTGTCCCAAAAATCTTCCGAATCAGAATTATCGAAGTCTGCAAGTGCCAAAAGCATAGATTCAAAGGTAGCAGATGCTGTGACAGAAGTGCAGCACAAAGCTACAGAAGCACTCAAGTCTGAGGAAAAAGCCATGGGTAAGCTAACCATTTAAAAAATGCCATGTTTATGCTTGATTTTGAAAAAACTACATGTTTTGTTTTCAAAAATACTTGACCATGTTCATCTAAAAGTAATTTATAATAACAAAGATGATTTCAAAGTGTGTTTTAATTTAGCAAGTGCTTTCACTAGAAAGCATAGGGCCAGGTGGCATGGTGGTTAAGGTGGCTGGATCCCACATGGCCAACTGCGCAGTTTAAGTCCATACCTGGGGCATTGGAAAGCACTCCAAGTGCTTGGGCCTCTGTGCCCAAAATACCAAAATGAGAATGGAGGAAAAAGGATCGCCGTATAGCCATCCTCCCTGGAGAGTGATTTCTCACTTTCCCTTTCTCTCTCTTTCTCTGGCTAGCACACACACCCTATAGCAAAACATTAAAAAAGAAAATATAAGAAAGGAAAAGAAAAGATGGGGACCAGCAGTTAGCATAATGGCTATGTTGCTGAACTCCCATGTAGCTGACTGTGGTTCGAGTCCCGGACCCAGTGGCTGGGCACATGTGCGTACATGCCCAAGATCCAGAGAGGAGAAAGGAGGAGAGGGATTTACGGTGTGGCCATTCGCCCGGGCAGTGATTTCTCACTTTCTGTCTCTCTGTCTCTCTTTGTCTTTCTGGTGAGCGCATGCACCCTATAGCAAAACCTCTCAAAAAAAAAAAAAAAAAAAAAGAATATATTATAAAACATAATTACATACAGCAATTATATATATATATATGCGTGCTTAATATGTTTAAATATCTGATGAAAATAAATTTCATTTACAGTTATAGTTTACCTTACAATAATATTTTTGTCTTTATTTTAATAACTGAAATGAATTAAAGAGAAATGCAATTTTTTTTAGAAAGATTTTTGCTATAGGGTGTGTATGCTCTCTGGAGAAACAGAGACAGAGAGACAGAAAGCAAGAACTCACTCCCAAGGGGGGTGACCCTGCTGCAGTCCCTTCTCCTCTTCTCTCCTCTTGGGACTTTGGGTATACACACACATGCACTCACCGTGATTTGAAACCACTGGGTCCAGAACTCAAACCATGATCAACTGAGTGGAAGTCCAGAAACATAACCATAACACCATCTGCTGGTCTCCAAGAAAAAAAAAAATTAATTCAATAATGCCATGTGTTTTTAATATGACATAGTAATTCATAAAGTTCTGGAAATGGTAAAACACACACACACACACACACACACACACACAAATTATACTATTCAAACAAAAAGTTTTTAAAATTATAGACATTACCTCATTTGTTAAAATAAAAATGTATTCTGTAGATGACTAGTTTAAAGTTAATCACTGTGTTGGGACCAGTATGGTGATTAAGGTACTGGACTCCCACATGGCCAACCATGGTTCAAGTCCCAAACCTGGTGACTTGCTTTCTCACTTTTTTTCTCTCTCTTTCTCTCTCTGTCTTTCTCTGGTGAGTGCCTGTATCATGTTTAAAAACAATAATAAATAATGATAATAAATAACTTTATTATTATTATTTTTTTTATTAAAATAATAAATATAAATGATAAATAAAATTAAATGATTTTTTAAATAAAATAAATCATTGTGCAGTACCCTTAGACTTTAAAAAATTAGAAAATGGCTGCTCATGTCAAAATGTACTTTAGTTTTGTTTTTTTATATATATGGTATTAATGAGTCATTCTGACCAGACTGATTTTATTCTTCCTTAATTAATTATTGCCTAGTTTCAACAAACTTGTTCTACTGAAGCCACTACTTTTCTTAATATTCAGGTTAGATGCCATTGGTTACAAGTATTTCAGTTATATACCATAGAACTCAGAATGGTTTAACAAAAAGTTATTGGGACATACAGCATATCATATTACTTAGGTACCCTTTGAGCATTTCTAGTCTGAAAATTCAAAATCTGAAATGCTCCAAAATCCAAATATTTGTATGCAGAGACATTATGCTACAAGGGGAAAATTTCTACCTGATGCATTTAAAATGCTGTAGTATACAGTAATTGTATGAAATTTCCTTCAGACTATGTGTATCAGATATACATGTAACATAAATGAATTTTGTGTTCAGACTTGAGTCCCATCTTCAAGATATTTCATTATGTATATACAAGTATTTCAAAATCCAAACATAACCAAAATCCGTAACACTTTTGGTCCCAAACATTTCAAATAAAGGATAGTTAACCTGTATTTACCTGTGCAAATTTGTATTTGTTTAGTAATCTTCATTATTATAATATAATGTCTTCCAGAATCCTGTACTAAATTATTCAATGTAGAGAGGGTATTTTTGTTTTTTGAGAGAGAGACCAAAAGATAGAAAGTGAGAAATCACCCCCCAGGGGTATGACCATGCCACAGTCCCTTCTCCTCCATTTTCTTCTCATGATGTTGGACATGCATGCACATGCATCCACTGTAAGTTTCAAGCCTCCAGGTTCAGGACTTAAACCATAAGTCGGCCATGTAGGAGTCCAGTGAAATAACCATTACGCCATCTGCTAGTCTCTTGATGTATAGTACTTCTTAGCTATTTAGACTATACTTTGTTTTTTCATGTAATTAATCAACCAGGCAGTTCTATTATTAATAGCATTCTGCAAAAGCATATTTTTCTGTTTCATCCGCTGAAAACAGTTTTTTCCTACCTCTTTCCAGATATTTCTGCTATGCCTCGTGGTACTCCGTTATATGGGCAGCCATCATGGTGGGGGGATGATGAGGTGGATGAAAAAAGAGCCTTCAAGTCAAATGGTAAAACTGAAGAAAAAAGTCATGAAACTGGAACGTCAGGTAAAGAAACTTAATGACTATGACTTTAAGTGGATATCTTAGGAAGCATTTGTAATCTAAACAAAAATTTTTCCCCTCTGAAAGGCATTATATTGTATAGTATGATAAAAAAGAGTTGATGAATGTTTTAAAAACCTTGCTATTTTAATGTAAATTTCCTTATTATGAGTGATTATTACCTAAAATATTAATTCAATGTCTTTGTAAGACACTTTAATTTAAAATATTTTATCCAGTGTATGAGATTGTTGAACCTGGAAAATAAATTAATGATATTACTGAGCATTGCAAATATTTTAAAATAATTATTAAAATGTATCAATTAGGCCAATATACTATAAAACTACTTTTGTGTTTTCATTAATATTTTTAAATGAACAATTTCCATTACGTTCAGAATTGTGATCTGAAATGATAATTTCTTTAAAACTTCAGTGTGCCCAATTTATTGGGATACAGTAGCAACAAGATTAGTGGAGTTCATCAGCCAGAATAAAGAAATAGTTCTGGGTCACATTCCCAGATTAATAGTGAATGAATACATTCTTTTGTTGATGGAGTGGTTCATTGGTGAACTAAGTGTCCATAAGCCAGACAATCAAGATTTCCAAGAAATAAACAGAGGTATCAATTACCTATCACATAAGGACTTTGCAAAGACATCAGAAGAGAAGGATGGACTGCCAGTTTCCACAATAACAGCAGATAAGGATCCAGAACTGGAAGAATTATGTACAGGCACCAGGGATCAGTATTGAAGACTTAAGTATGACTCTGGGGCAAGAATAAATCCCATCAGAACTCTTCTCAGTTTTCTACCTTTGATTCTAGTTCTACAAGATAAATAGGGCAGACTTTTCTTAGCTGGAGAATAAGACTATTGGTTCTTTATATATGCTGTAATTATTCCAGGATACAAGTTGCAGAAAGCTGGCATTATCAACTTGATTTTACAGCACTCAGAACTGATTTTGTCAACTGTGCAAATAAATTTCTATCACAACTTTCTTATTTCTGTCTCCACACTTTTCCTCACACCCAGGCTCAGAAACTTAGTATTATTTAGTATTCCTTTAGATATAAATAACAAAAATGCTACCTGAGACCAAAAGAGAGAAACTTACTGGCTCACATAATTGATCCCTACTAGGGTTATTCAATGCAGCATCTCAACATTATTGTCACCCATTTTCTGTCCATCTCTCAGTCTTGCTGACTACAGTGGTTACATGCTGAGGGAAGGAATTTATTCTCACGCTATAAGCTGCCTGCAAACATCAGTTAGGAGTACATGCTACTTTAATCATATCCAACTGAAAAGAGCAAATGCTGCCTCCAGAAGACCTCACAAATTTGGAAGAACTTGCTCAAAAGTTCTCAGTACATCTCTCTTCTCATTGGCCTAGACATGTTCAGGGATGGGTCACCTGCTTATTTCTTAACCAATCACTGGTAAAGTATATGAGATTATCCTCAAGCCAATCTTGCTCGCTTTGAAACTGGACATACAGTTAGTTTTTCTTTAAGGGAAGAGTTGAAGCAGGAGAATATTGTCATCCTTTTAGGATGGAGGAGCAGGAAGAGCACTCTGGAAGATAATCAAAAATGTCTGCTTTACTTGAAAATTTTGGGTCTTCCCTCCTTTCATCTTGTCTGTTTAATCTATTACCTACCACTATCCTGCCCACCCCACCCCCACACACATTGAGTCATAGCTGAACTTCCTACTTCCAGTTTCAACCCTCTTGAGGTTATTTTGCTACAGACATAAACTGATCTTTATTTCCTTTTACAAAGAAACTATAGTGACTACCTTTTGCATGCCAAATAGGTTTTAAACTTAAGTCTTATATATCACAGTTCTCTGATTCTGTTTCCATTTTCTAAGTGACCTTATGTCCTGTCACCAGTAGTTTTAGTGCTGTCTCTTGAAGCATCCTCAATAAATTATGCTGATTCCTGCCTGCTCTTATAGATAGACATACACAGACATATATGTACACATATATCAGATGATGTAAAGTTCTAAATGACACAGCTGTATCTGTATATTGACTGTTCCACTGTGTAAACTGTTTCAGTGACTCTCACATGCATGCCTTCCTTCCACAATGTGAATTTCTTACTTCAAATACCACATATTATACTATGTTTGTGCAGTAGAGCCACATAATACAAAAAGAAAAAGAGCTTACCAGCTAAGTGGTTAAGAAAATACAGCTGGGGACCAGCAAATGGCTTAATGTTTATGTCACTGGACTCCCATATAGTTCACTGCAGTTCAAGTCCTGAATCCAGTGACTTAAAACTCACACCAGGTGCATATGCAGGCATGCCCAAAATCCAGAGAGGAGAGTGGAGAAACTACCTTTTGCATGCCAAATAGGTTTTAAACTTAAGTCTTATATATCACAGTTCTCTGATTCTGTTTCCATTTTCTAAGTGACCTTATGTCCTGTCACCAGTAGTTTTAGTGCTGTCTCTTGAAGCATCCTCAATAAATTATGCTGATTCCTGCCTGCTCTTATAGATAGACATACACAGACATATATGTACACATATATCAGATGATGTAAAGTTCTAAATGACACAGCTGTATCTGTATATTGACTGTTCCACTGTGTAAACTGTTTCAGTGACTCTCACATGCATGCCTTCCTTCCACAATGTGAATTTCTTACTTCAAATACCACATATTATACTATGTTTGTGCAGTAGAGCCACATAATACAAAAAGAAAAAGAGCTTACCAGCTAAGTGGTTAAGAAAATACAGCTGGGGACCAGCAAATGGCTTAATGTTTATGTCACTGGACTCCCATATAGTTCACTGCAGTTCAAGTCCTGAATCCAGTGACTTAAAACTCACACCAGGTGCATATGCAGGCATGCCCAAAATCCAGAGAGGAGAGTGGAGAAGGGATTGCAGCATGGGCATCTCCCCTGGGGAATGATTTCTTGATTCCTGGTGAGTACACGTGCCCTATAGCAAAAATCTATCTTAAAAAAAGCAGAAAACACAGTTGAATGTGACTAACTATTGCCAAATTCTGTAAATAATCAATTTTTTTTGTAACAGTTTCAAATTTAGCTCTCTCACCTCACAAAACAACTTTTAAAATATGTAACTTTCAGTGTACTGAGAAACATACATATAATTCTTTATAGGCAGTACAACCATGATTATTATAGTAGTTGACACTTTGGTTGTACATTCTTTATACAGACACTTTTCTAAGTGCTTTGTAAGCATTTCACTATTTAATCTTCATAGCAGTACCTAAACATAATTCCTGTTATTTTGCCATTTTAAAGAAACCGAGGTACAGCAATGATAATTTACTGACCAAAGTCACCCAGCTAGTAAATAATGGAGCTGTGAGTCGAACTGAGGCAACTAGATTCCACAGTCTGTCATTTTAACCACAAACAGTTAATACTTCAGCAGCCATTACTCTTGTAAGCACATGCTCCAAATGGATATACTTTATGGAGTGAATAGATTTAAATACTCCAAAACAAGCAGACATAAAGACTTGATCCCCCATACCTTAGTATAATAGAATGTTTCAAAATGCGAAGCATCCAGCAGTAATTTCATCAATGTGAATGAAAGTAAATGTTTCAGTGAGTGCCAGCTGTGTGCCTTGTCCCATTGAATGTCATTTCTGCCACACGACCAAAAGCCGTCTCATAATCTTGGGATTGTTTTTGAATAATGTAAGTGATTTATGTCTTATGTTAAGTAGTTTGAAGCACCCTGTCAGATACAGATGATTAATAGCCTTGTTTTTTTTTTTAATTATTTATATTTTTTGAGAAAGAACATGTTGTGGTGGAGAGACGGACCTTTGTGACAGGGTCTCATTATGCTACAGTTCCCTTCCCTAGCCTCCTAGCTAGCTAGAATCATGGCATGTTTTAGGTTGATCAAGGTGCCTAATCCTGGTTGGCTCTGTGGCTCCAGCATTGCAGTGTGATGTGCTGTTATTTAATCTACTACAGCTGGGCTGAGATTCTTACTCGCTTTCTTATATTCATATGAGGGTATTATTGTTTCATAGTCATCATTTGTAGTTTTTAAAATGTAACATTAGGGAAATAATGTACTGACCTGATATAATTGTAGAATTAGAATTGAAGTGTGTGTCAAATATTTAATTTGATCATTTTGAAATTAAAGAGTTTTTAAGAATTTAAACATAAAAAGTTTTAGATCATAGACTATAAATTATTTGAATAATTTATGTTCTATCTAGGCATACTCTTTTAGTAAAAACAAAACGTGATTTGTTTCTTGGTTATCAATTCTCAGATTAAAATCATATGTCTTATGGAAAGTGAACATTCTAGAAGGGATAATAGAGTGTCTGCTACCTAGTCATTTTTTATATCCCTCTCTGTGTTTTCACATGTATCCAGAATCTCCTAAAAACTTACCATATAGCCTAAAAAAAACCCTAGAAGCAAATATTTACATTACTGAAATCTAGTTCTCCTAAAATTCTGTGAATATTTTCAATCCTAGTAAGGAAAATTTGGGGCCAGCTGGTGGGGTGGTGGTTGAGGTGGCTGGATCCCACACTGCTGACTGTGTGGTTGGTATCTGGACCTGGCAGCTTGAGAAAACATGCCAGGCATATGTGCCTAAAATCCGAAAAGAGGGAGAAGCAGGGGAGAGAGAGATTGTGGTATGCATGTCCCCCATGGGAGTCTTTCATACTTCCTCTCTCTCTCTTTTCCTCTTTCTGGTAAGCACATGCACATGCCCTAGCAAATTTTTAAAAACAGAAGGAAAATTTGTCCTCAGTTTAGATACAGTTATACTCTTCTACCTGCTAAACTTGGTCTCAAAATGAATTTAGGTTACAGTTAAAGGCCTTTAAATGTTGTATACATTTTGAAAAGGCATGTGCAACTGTTAGTAGTATCTGCTTGGTGCTTTTATGTGGATTTTTAATCCAAATTATATTTTGAAATTTTCAAGTTGTAGTTCTTTTT